AAAAAAAAAAAAAACTATTCAAATTGTAAGCTTTACTTAGGATTGCCAGAAAGTAGGCACGTGCAACATTGTTGCAACTGTATATAGGCAATGTCTACCTATACCTACTTAATAATATCCTAAAAATACACGATACATGATCTTGGTTTGCAAGTTGCAGAGCTTTATAGTCATCTGGACAAAGTTGTACATTTTTATGAAAAATATTAAAAATTAATAAATAAATAAATAAAAGAAATAAGAATATTAAGTTGTAATACAAACAAATATCAAAGTTTGTTACCGATGAATCTTCGATAAACGAATGATACATTTCTCGATGAATTTTCATTTAAAAGTAAAGAATTTTATTTTAAGAAAACTTGGGAAGAACTATTATCAGTAATAGAAATGATATACACAGTATAGTAGATCTTCGACACTGAATATTAAATTATCTATTCGCAACATTGTATATAAATCAGTTTCAATCTTTGATAATTTTTCAGATCATTATAGATCTCTACAACTTGATGATTATACACCTATTTATCTATCGTTAGGAGGCCTATGATTTGATCCTACAGTGCGTCATTGAAAACTTAAATGATTAAATGTCACGTGTGTTGTCTTGTCCAAGCCTTGAGAAGTTTCACTAAGAAAATAAAATATTTTCATGTAATATGACACAGCTGTACCTACTTATGGCACGTTGAACATATTCGATGGAACCAATAAAACTTGGAGCTGGTTGAAAAGCATTTAAAAATTAATCAATAATTTTATTCCGTTGTTAAATCAAAATGCATATTACTTTAAATTTATTAAAAATACGTGGCCTAGACGATTAATTTTGAATACTATCTATCCATCTATGAACGCATTTACAGATACTCGTAACTTTTAATTATCGATAAAAACTGGACATGGACCAAATTTTGATTGTGCGCGGGATTTACAGTAATCGAATTAAATTATTTCGAAAAGTGTTCGTATATTTTGATTTATCTAAAAGCGTTGAAAACTGTGCAAATTGTTTTAACATAATTTCATAAATTTAACGATAAAACGAACGTGTCGTTCTTATTGCCAAAGAGAATAGAAATTGAAACTATAATACAACCAAACAAACTTATAATTTACAAACAAGATTATACTTTAGGCAGAATAAGAAGCGATCACGAGTTTACCAGTCCGCAATTATATAGAATAAATTATTTTTCGTCTTTGGACAATTATTCGTTCAGATTATGGCAGATT